CTTAAGTGATACTTCCCGTCGCTGAAGCTGAAAAGGTCTGTTTCTGGAGACTGATAAAAATGGCGAAATACAGGACTGCTTCAGTTCAAATGTTGGCTCTTCTTCACAAACTTCAAGTTGAATTACCACTGAGCAAGAAGCCACAGTGATGATATTGTGAAGGATTCATATTGTTCTGTATTTTTTGAAGAGATCAATGTTATTGTGGTAAAGGACATGAAGTAAGACACTTGTTATCTCTGTCCTTCTTTGAATGTGATGCCAGGTGTTAAGTTTTCCTTTTATTTCTGTCAGCCAAACTCCACTGCTCAGGTGTTACTGTACTGTGTTTTTTCACTTGTTGTGGGAACTCAAAATGTCTCTCAGACATTTTTAGAAGTTCCAGGCCTTGGTCAGAAGCATTCTAGACCCTGGCAGACAGCTGAAAAACAGCTGTGATTTTGAGTTTGAGCCATGGAATGAATTACCAACTTTGGAGGTGGAACAAGCAGTCACAAAAGGTTAGATAGTATAGTAAAAATAGTTACAAAGTAGAGGGGAAATTTTTTTTGTATTGTACAGGGGGGTTTTAACACATGTACAGGGGGGTTTTCACTTTGTACATGAGGGTCAGAAGTTCTAAGATGGAGGAAAGTGGGCTGATCCTGTTCTTCCTCCTTCTTCTTCCTTACCTCCATGTTCTTGGTGATGTTGGCATTCACAGATTGGTTTAGAGTAGAAAAACACTTGGCAACGTAGGTAGTAGGTATTGGGGAATAATTGTAAACATGTTATACGTAATATATCTTATAAAAGATAGCAGCAGCCCTGGGCGGAGAGAGAGACGAAGAAGACAGCAGACAAAGAGGATGTCAGGGTGTGTGTGTGCCTCTACCCAGGCCACTGATCAAATAGCTGCAGTCCAAGAACATAATCTGTTAGATAACTAGCAATAAACTGCCTTGAGACCGAACAGCTAAGCCTGCGGAGTTTTTCTTTGGAAGCACAGGTTGGAGGAGGAATTTCACCACCACATGTGGCCCCAAAACAAGGCTGGGGTTCTCACAACTTGTAATTAAAATCTCTAAACATGTTAGACTGGAGTGTTTAGCAGCATTCCGGTCTATTTAACTGACTTCTTATGAATTGCTGGGTCAATTGCCAACTGCCAGGCCAAAATGAAATATAGGTTTGCATTTATTTTCCTAGGCATTGTATTTAAGGTTAACAAAGGCTTAACCAATTCCCCAAGGCTTTCTTGGCTGAGATGGAAACTCTGGATCTAGGGCTTCCCTGGAATGATTTTGAGTGTTTCATCCATACCCTGTGCAGACACCTGGCCTCATCCTGCATCATTCATCTCCTGGTCTGAACAAAATGGTTCAATGTTTTTCTGTTGCCCTGGGCCCAGTCAGGCAGTGTGTAGCTGATGCTGCAGCTCACTAACAGAGTAGTAGTAAACACAACCTTACCTTCTACTGTTTTACTTCTTAGCCCACAAGAAACATAAAAGAGTATTCCTAATTGTAATTTAACTATAGCAATATCTGCTAGAAAAAAAACTAAAAAAAAAAAAAACCAAATAGTTTCAGGTGCCTCCCCTTTTCCTTGTCCTTCAGAGACTCATTCCTGGGTAATGCAACATATCCTGTGTATTCTTATATTATGTTTCAATGTATCAGGTAATTTAACTGCTGAATAAAACCATTGGTAAATGTCTAATGGGGGGGGGGGAAACAAGTTCTTAACACTCTTCTTTTCTTCTTGTTCATTTTAGTAAGAATATTAGGGAACTCATGTTCTAGCATTATGATAATGATGGGAATTCTGCTCTTAAGAAATTTCAGTTATCCTCTGGATTTATTATGACCTTTTCTGTTTGTTAAGTTCTTGGGTTTTTTAGGGGGAGCACTGCTTTGCATTTTACCCCTGCTTAACAGCCTATTTCTTATGCTTGTTTCAATCCATCTCTGTGAATTGAGGTTTTTTTGACTGGCCTCAGTGCACTTGCACATTGCCAACATTGTACTCTGAGGTGATATGCAGAACTGAATATTGGATCATTAGACACTCATTTTGCTAAATTACATTGTAGTACCCTGGTATGTAAAGATCTGGTATGTAAACAATTGTATTCCTGCTCTAGTCTTATTTAGTTAAAATGGGGTTTACTGCTGGATACATGCACTATTGCTCTGACTCAGTGCAGTCATTTTTGTGTTACTATTTCTTAGGGTAAAAGACTAACTCTTAGGGTAAAAAAAAATAAACTCTTAATATTTTTAAAAATTTTTGTTGTTGTTGTTTTTCACTATCTCCTGAAATCTCAAAGTATTAGGCTGAGCATAAGAACCAGGCAACTTATCAGAACTTGGCTGGGTTCCATGAGTCTCTTACTCGTTATCCTGTGCTTTAGATGCTGAAAAAGAAACCAAAGATACCCTGTTCCTCTTCCATTTCTGTTAGGTTGCATGACCACCACCTGGTGCCCCAATGCACCTCTATTGTCTTAAAGAAGGGAGCCAGGGGAATTGCATTTAGTTCTTCCAAAAAATTTAAAGGAAGTGAGAACTGCTCTCTGTATATAAATAACTCAAGTCAGGAAAAACTCAATGGCATTATACCCATTGCTGGGCTGTGATTACAGCTAGAAACTGCATATAGCTCAGCTGATTTAAAATTATCCAAATATTAGATCAATTCTTTAATGATAGTTGGCAAACCTCAAAGAGAAGTTAGTTGGAGCCAAGGAGGGTAGCCATGGTCATTCATACCCCATCCTGACTCCCTGCCAAGACGGGCACGCAGTGCCGGCTGGACAGCCAGGAGTGCTTTGGTTTGTTGGGCTGGGCTGGCTTTGGCTGGGGTAGAGGGTTTTTTCCCTTCACAGTGGCTGAATTTGTGCTGAACACAGAATTGATAATAGAGAGATGTTTTTGTTATTGCTGAGCAGAGCCAAGGCCTCCTGTGCTTTTTGTACTGCCACACAGTGGTAGAGGGCTAGGAGGGCTTATGAGGCTGGGAGGGGACATAGCCAGGACAGGTGACCCAAACTGACCAAAGGGATTTTCCAGATCATGAGACATCATGCTTCATATAGAAAGTGGAGGGCAAAAGGAGGAAGGAGAGGACATTTGGAGCGATAGTGTTTGTCTTCCCAAGTCACTGTCACAGGTGATAGAGCCCTGCTCTCCTGGGGATGGCTGAACCCCTGCCCAACCATAGAAAGCAGGGAATTAATTCCTTGCATTGCTTTGCTTGTCTGCATGGCTTTAGGCTATTAAACTGTCCCTACCTCAACTCATGAGGTTTTTTTACTTTTGCCTTTTCCATTTTCTTCCCAATCTTTTTGGTAGGGGAGTGAGTGAGTCAGTGGTTATGTGGGGCATGGCTGTTGGCTGGGGTGAACCACAACAAGGGCCTGAAAAAAGCCACATTCACTTTAGTTGCCATGCTTTAGGAAATGAGCAGCCCTTGAGGTGCAACTTCATGTCCCAAATCACTGTTCTCTGAAGAGAATTCCCAGAGTTCACTTCTACTTTACTGTTTGTGCATCCTGTCTTCTGTGAACTTCCAGGTGCCTTTCTGATAAATTCTTTTTTGTTTAATATTGAAACTTCTTTCAAACAACCTTTAATAATAAAGCCATGAGGTAGAACTCTTTTTTTCCTATCTTTTTACTGTCATGTTTATGTATGAAGCAAATTATAATATCCAATAAATTTGCAGTCCTGTGAGTTTTTATAAATATTTAAAATAGTTGCACTCTGTAAAAAATTCCCCATGCATTAGAAATGCAAGACACTGCAAATTAAATTTATATTGCATATTTGAATATTGGATGTCAGTATATGCTAAAGTTATTTGGTCTAAAGCAAGTGAAATACCTAATACAAATGCAGTGATTTGCCTTGACACGGTGTCTTGATTCATTGGCAGTTTCTACAAGCACAGAAAAAAGATGGCATGCATTGCAAATTGTTCAGCAAAATTAACAATCAGATCAAAATTGTAATTTGCAAAATTAAATAGACTGATGTAGTCATGAAATAATATCAGATTTTGAGGCTTTTATTCCTTTGGCTTCTGTTGCTTATTTTCTTGCATTATGGATTTTCTTTCTCTGTGTCTTACAATATTACCTAGTCACTAGGTACTGGAAATACAAGATATGTTTATTTCCATCCAGACTCTCATACAAGTCATATTTCATTTGCTTCAATTTTCTGTCCTTGGAAGCAAAAATGAAAAGTTCTTCTGAACAGTCTTCAAGAAGTGTCCTAGCCACTGCTGTGTCACATTAATATTGTAGTTAATACAAATAATGGAAAAGGGAAACAAAGCAAAAGCACAATTTTCAGTGCTTAAACTCTGTCCTTCATTTCCCTTCTATTTCTTACAGATTTTAATGCTGTCTTCAAAATCATACTGAGAAATATTTTCAAATACAGCAAGGGACAAGCATTTTTCAGCCTTTCCAGTTATGGAGGTTCAGTGTCCTCTTGCCAGGGTCTCACAACCAGCAATCATATAAGAAACTGGCAATTTAGTTTCTTAGCTGTTGTCCTTACCTATTTCTTTTAACCAAAACAATTTTTTTTGGCCAAGAGATCTGCAGGTTTGAGGGCTCATAATAACCAGAAACTTGAAAAAGGCTACAAGTGTAGAAAATGAATATAGGTTCAAGATTTTAAAGAAAGAACAACTGTTAGTCTGGCTTAGCTTCCTCACTGCGGAAGTCAGAGCAATCCATGCTTTTTGCCTCATGCTGATCCACACAGTTTTAGCCCCATTTAAAACAGTGTTTCAGGAGGCATCCCATCCTGATGTGGAAGCATCTAGAGATGAAAAACCCACTTACTCAGCGAACTACCTTTTCAGTTCCAGAATGCACAGAGAAATTCAGTTGTAATTTATCTGGTTGGGGTACTGTTTTGTGTGCTCTTCCCCTAAGAGATTAGAATCTTTAATATAATACTACTTTATATCTGTAATGGTAATCTCGTCCTTCTCTGTTACAGACTGCAGAGACTGAAGCACAGTCAAAGGGGTAAAATGCAGAGCATGAAGCTGACACAGAGGCATTCTTCCCCAAGAAGTCAAGTGGACATAGAGTGACAGCCACGTGGTGCTTTGGTGCCATGCAGGGCATGGAGGGAAGAGATCACACAACCCAGACTGGTCAATCACTTTGAAAAACAGGAAATCAGCTGAGTATTATCCCTATGAGACACACGTGCAGTGCTTGATTCACAGCTCTTTTACTACAGAAGAGTCAAGAAGTGTGCCTTGGAGGTGATGTCAAGAGTTACGGATCAATTAACCTTGGATGGCAGCACATATGGCAGCACTTATGGCAGTCTCTGAGCACCTCAGGTCATCATCTCTGTGTTGGTAAGTAATGGGAAAATAGAATAGACAAAATGGAAGTAATTAAGATAAAGTGCTGGGGAATTTAATAGAAAAATAGTGTGTATTTCAGAAGCACAATTGCTGCTACCTAACAGGCACTGAGAATTCTATGCTTGTGAGAGGCCAGAAATGATCCTTAATCACCTGTCCTGTAAGAACACTGATGGCCATTGAAAAAAATTACCCCAGTTAGTAAGAGAAATGCCACATCCAAAAATCAGCACAGTCAAAAGGAGAGTTTAAATTTATTCAGCTATCAGTAGCAAGACTGGTAAAAGGTTGTTAAGTATGAGTTATGGCTCCATTCCACGTACTATAGCCTGCAGCAATGGATATTTTAATAAACTTCACTTGGAAGAAAATAAAATTATTTTTGTGAAAATACCTGAGGTGTTTTGAAGATACCAGAATCCAAAGAAATATATGGCAATCTCATGGCAAGCATCCCTATAATGCATAGAAGTGGGGAAAACATAAGCACGTAATGAATATAGAACAGGCTTGAGGAAATAAGTGCTGGTGAATTTAAGCAAACTGTGTGCCTTGAAATGTAAAACAACCAAAGTATATTTCTTCAGTACAACAGTGACTGGTAGAATATATTTATAAACTGCAGAGCAACTGAACTCCCTATCCCTAGTGCAAACCCCCTGCAGGAATCAAATGTTTTGATTGAAAAGGAATGGGGCCATCACACTAAGCCCATTAACAACCAGTTTGCCCATAAATTGCCTCAGAGCATGGTGTGTACCAGCACAACTCTGCAGCAGGCAGTGGCCACTCAGGTGGAAGAAGGAGGTGGATGGAGTGATGGACTGGAGAGAAGGGGCCATGGGGATGGCAGGGGAAAGGCTGCAAGGAAGACGTTTCACCACCTCATGTTCCAAAGTTACTGACAGAATCACTGCTTGTTGCTCCCATGACAGGCACCCCAGCAGCAGCAGGGAGGAGAAACCATTCTCAAGCACAGCAGTCTTGGAACTGTGGCAGATCCAGTGCTTCCTGGCAAAAAAAAAAAAAAAAAAAAATCTTCTTTCTTTTGTTGTTATTGCACTAGGTACCTCCCTGCTTGGATTAAGTCTCAAACCAGCACCAAATTAAAGGCTATTTCTACTTACTGATATAAAGTTTTGTGAAGCACTCCATAGACAAATAGCACAAGATCCTTTCTGATGCATCAGCCTGAATGCTATAATGATATCTGTCAAATAAATGCTCTAAACAGAAGCAGTTATTTTTTTAGCACCCAAAACTAAGTTAATTAGTGTACACAAAGTTGTTACGTGTGAAGCAAGAGCAAGGCAAAATGTAACAAGGCTGCGGGCAGTTGTTCTGCTCATTTGCAATGAAAGGGTGGTCCAGGGACCTTAAGTCCTGCAGTTGATGGAGATGAGCACTCTTCATCAGCTGTTCTCCCAGCCAAGTCCATGACATCAGCTGGACTACGCATAGCTGGACACTGATTATGCACTTATTTTCCTAGGAGAGCACAGCATTTTAAAAGGTGTATTGTTCTTAGGGAGATAATTCTCAGGAAACCACTTGATATCTTTACCTGTCTTTTCCCCCTGTAAACTTGAGCAGTTTCAATGTTCATTGCTGTTGCTTCCATGAGGGAGTTCATCTTACTGCTCTAGGGACCTGGAGGATCACTTTGTCTATGCTATAGAAAATAACACTGCTATGGAAGGAAAACCTCATTTTATTTTAGAAGAAATCTTACTTCTCTCACTTTTTCCTGCTGTGTTTCTCATAAGCACCAGGACAGGTGCCTCTAGGTGGATGCCAAATCTGAGACCTTGCCATGCTGCCTCAGTTAGAGGGGTGACTGACCTTTGACTTTCTTAGTCCCCTTTAGGAGCTAATGATGCATTTTGCTTCTCTGTCCCATCCCATCCCATCCCATCCCATCCCATCCCATCCCATCCCATCCCATCCCATCCCATCCCATCCCATCCCACCTTTGTGAGCCCATGGGTTTTCCTCACCATCCTTTGGGCAGCCTAGGACTCTAGTCTGTTATTTTTCTTCCCCCTTTGACGGGAGCTGTTACTGTTTGTGTATTTTAGTTTGGGTATAGGCTTTTCCTGGCTCTCTAGTTGTCCTGAGAAATTGCAAGTAGCTGTGCTGCACTGGGATGTCTGTGACTTGTTGACTTGGTTTGAAAAGACAGGTGTTTGCTAAGGAAGGCAGGAGCCTCACCTGAAATGGAAAATGTAAACCCCCTCCCTCCAAATTATTGTAATTCTGAAATTAAGGGGCTCTCAGGCAAAGATATGGGAGTAGGAATAGCAGTTATTTATTAGGGAAGAAAATAAAAGTAAAATAAAAAATGCAGTCATACAGAACACTGACAGAGTCGGAATACAATCTGACACCCTGTTAGCCAGGGTGGTGGTGCCAGTCCTGATTAAACACTGGCTGCAGTCCTCCTGGAGTGACAGGTGTGGTTCGGTTTAAGCAGTGATCCTGTGGAAGGGTGTAGTCTTCCTCTGAAGATCCAGTGAAAAAAACCCAGCTGTTCCTCTGGGAATCCAGTGGAAAGGCTGCATCTGGTGTCCTAAAAACTCAGATTATATCCAGTTAGGAATGCTTGCTCCTCTCTCTGGGTGGAGCATTTCACAATGGGATTCTGTAACTTTTATCAGTCATGCAGAGATATTCAATAGCCCATTATCAGCAGATGTCTTCCTGGAGGGAGGATTGGTTGTGGAAGAGATGAAGAAAACTGCCCACTTAACAGGAGAGAACTGCCACACCTCTAACAGAGGGGGAGAGAATACACACCCCCAGCTCCATCTGCCAACCTAAGACATGGGTTCATCTGAGCATCAGCCTTGTGGCCCTTCTGTTCCCTTGGGTGCTCCTGCAGCCAGACCTACCCACACAGTCTCTGTTTATGCCAATCTTAATACTTCTGTTACAGTTCTCTCAAATACTCAACAAAGCTCTTCAATGACCCTTGCTCTTAGCACTGTGAAGTGAATTTTTATGAAGTGAAATGAAGGCACAGATCTAATCTTACCTGTCCTTGCAATTCCTGATAATTCAGAGTACATCATCCAGTATCTGCCTTTGCAAGACAATTCAAGATGTTAACAATTTGAAATTAAGGATATCTCAGGAAAAAAACATTAAGCTTCAACACATATGTAAGAGGAAGCAGAAAATATCTGAATTCAATTAACTAGTTAATTCACACCTTCCTTCTGTTACATCTTACAGTGGTTCTGCAAAACACCTTTGGTTTGGTATTTTTCATTATTTTTTTTGGCCCATGCAGATGAATGTGGTTTTTAGAGCTATTTCCTTTTGCCATTGTTAATTTTGAAACAGAGAATAATGTAGTTTTCACTAAGTTTTTTTTGTTTTCAGCCAGAAAATATGTTCTGCAGTGCATAACTGCAATGTGTGTCTAGCTATCCAAACAGAACTCAAAGACCAGAAGCTGCAGCATGGCTCATTAGGAATTTTTTGTAAATATAATGTTAATACAAAAAGGAAAATCAGACCAAACTTTCAAGTGTGCATGAATTAAACAAATCAAGTACACTCACTAGCTTAGCAATAGCAAAATATTGTTAGTAAAAAAAAAAAAATGTAGATGGAGTGTTTTCATTTTAACTGGTGCCATTCCCATACACATTTTTACATACTTATAGCTACTCTGATAATATTTTTTCCTGCCATGCTCCTGTGCTATAACAGAAAATGGCTTCTGAAATGTAATACTATACAGTCTGGGATACTATACAGAGCTGAATCTTCTCTCAATAGCACTCCAGGATGTTTGACATTAATTTAGAATGTAGTGTCATTTTCCAGGAGTTATGGGTTAATTCTGAAAAAATTAAATGACCTTCAGATACATGTTGCATAAATTGTTCTCACTCATCCATATTCAAAGCAAGACTTTTAAAAGAGTCTGCATGTAGTTCATATCTGCAAGTATGATCTCAGGGAAAAATAATTGCATTCAAAATTGTACTTACTTGACTAGAGGCAAAAAAGTTATAAAATGCCTACACTTTCAACAAATCATCTTGTATTTGAAATTTATTTTCAGCTTTCCAGGTGGTTATCTTTGGCAGAGTTTCAGGAAGAAATATAATATATATGAACCATAAGTAGTGCATAATTGAGACCTCCTATAAAGACAAACCATTGTGTATGTAAACATTTCAGTGGCGCTAATATGAGTGAAGGTGTAGTGAAAAACCTTTTTATTTCACAACAGTCTCAGATTATTGTTTTCTATGAACTTGTAAGGAATAATGTATTCCATTTCATGTGATTAAAAAATACTTCTTTTTTTTTTGTTAAAAAATCATTTTTACAATGTTTTAATGCACTTACAGGTACTCCTGGACAAAAGAAAACTGCCTTCAAGTTCCTTAAAATGTCTAGACCACCTTAGAAAACTGTTGGAGTTTAACACATATTCTTATTTTATAATGAGAGTAAATAAATATTTTCCTTCTGAACAAGGAGTAGGAAAACAGATGTCTGTTTTATAGATTAAATTAAATGCATAGTAGTACTTGTTTAGGTATATAGGCCCCTCAGATGTTGAATATGAAAACCCTTCTTTGGATGAGTGGGTTTGCTCTTTCTGCTCCTGAAGACCTTGCCCCAGACTCTTTACTCCCAGAAAAATATGTGTCTCTGGCATATTTATTTTTCTCAGGGCCTTTTTTTTCAGAAGCCAGAGCCATTGTTAAGTCCTCTGTGGGAATTTATCACACTTCTAGAACAGTTTTTTTTTCATATTTTAGCCCATTTGTGCTCCCCAACAGCTTTGACAGCCTGTGAACTTCACAATGCTGAAGAGAAGGTTGAGCCTTGTGACATAATGTTTTGGGAGGTATTTTGTTCCCATTCTATAATTTTGCAACCAGTAAAATAATTTTCAAATGTATCCTGAATTTAGCAAACACTTTAAGCTGAAATCACAGATGAAAATTGGTTTAGCCTTCTGATTTTCTTTTTAAAGCTTTTCCATTTATGAAAAGTCAAAATATTCTCACTTATAAAAAAGATCAAGGATATGGAGGTCCAGGTCATCCTAGCCTGTAAATATCAATCCCCACACCAAAACAGGGTCTCAAGAGTCATAAATCACCACTCCTTTCCTGTTATGTGATCCTTTTCAGATCCTTTTCACGCTTGGAAATGCATGTGGCTTGGTACAGAGAGAACAGTGCTACCTGCAGAGTGTTAAGGACTGGGAGGAGATGTCAACACCTGTAGTTTCACTAAATGAAACTGTGAATAAAAAAAAAAAAAAAAAAAAAAAAGGAGAGAGACAGATTCCATGTCCTTGAAGACAGAGCTGGGAGCTGCCCATAGGTTTCAGTGCAGTCTGTCTGAAGCAGCAGAGGTGCAGTCTCTGCCTCATGAATGGTGTATGGACCTTAGTCCTGGGAACATGCCTGTGTGCTGGGGAAGAAAAGGGCACTACAGATCGTTTTCTGTGTCTCCAGTTGCTTGCTGTTTTTTGCAAAGAAAGAATTTATTATGAAAGAAAAGTCTTGTTCAGATTAAAATCCACCTCCTATTTTTCCTTTCCCCCCCTCCTTTTGTCATTTTTGTGGTTTAGCTGCCATTTACACTCCCCTGTCCTTACAAAAACAACAACAAATAAACCAACAAAACCAAACTAATTATCTGTATCTACTTGTACCTACTTTTCTGGTTTTACTACAAATGTATAATTCTATCTTGTCCCTGATGGTAGTTGTAGAGACAGAGCTATAGAGATGTTCGGATAGACCTAAATGGATCTCAATCCATCTCTTTTGTTTCCTTAAGTAACTTCTCACTCAGGCCCCAGTTCCCTTTCTCTAGAGCCACATGTTTGATCTCAGTTAAAGCTGTGAAGAGGACAAACTGTAAGCCCTTCACTCTGGCTTTCTTTAGTATGACACATGTCACAAGCTTAAGGAAAAACCTATTTTAAAAAAATGAAACAATTTATTCTATAAGGCCTATTCACAGGAATTAGGAGACAGTCTGAGGCTGGGACATGTGAGTTGCCTGTACCTGTGTTTATAAGAAGAGAGAAATTAAATGTGTAGAAGAAGAGGGCTTAAGGTGTATATATCCAGAAATGCTGGGAAGTGCAGGTGGCAAGAAGATCTGGTGTATATTAACATGGTTTTCTAAAATCCTCTGTTTTCCTGAGCAATATAACCCTTCTGTCCTATGCTGGTCATTGTTTCAGGAACAAGTCAGAAGTTGTCTCCACAAAGTTGTCAAAAAGAAAAAGTAAGAAGGAGCCAGGGAAAAAAAAAATCACTACCAGAATAAAATCTGAGACTTCACTTCTTCAAAGAATAAGAAAAATCCCATGGTTATTATTCTGATCATTTTAATCTGACAGATCAAAATGATCAGAATTAGTATTATAATATTGTTCCATCTCTGTATCTGTGGATAATTAAGACATATCTTTCAAATATAAGTTTTATTTTATAATCTTCTAATATAGCTTTTTTCCATGAATTTACTTTGCATTGATATTTTTGCACCCGACATTTACACCTGCCATTTACAAAATTTACTTAATTTGAGTGTTTATTTCATGAACTGAATTCCATATTTTCAAAAATAAATTGGATGGCTGAAACAATGCACAGTGAATTTTTCATTCTCCTGAATATAAGTTTGATAACCACATTGTTAACTGTGTTGTTCAAACACTGCACAACCTGGTTAAATATGAAAGGGCTTATTTCTGCTGACACTATTTTTCTATGGAAAATGTTTTGTCAGCCTTTATTTGAGACACATTACTAAGCACCAATTTCTGATTTATTTATTGATTTTCAAGCTGTGCTTTAGTTTATTTTCACAATATTTTCAATTTAGGATAGCAAATTAGAGACAAAATAATGTACATATCCACTTTCACAGGCTATCTCTAGATATTTCTGGGTTTTCTATTGATTCTAACTCTCCATGTAAGTTTTACCAGGAGACTTATCACCTGCCTTGCAAATTCCTAAGAACCAAAATAGCAACAGCTGTACATTGTCATTGCACTATGAGCCATCCTGAGAGGAGCAATGCACAAGGGGAGAAATAAGACAAGGAATATTGACTTCCATCTGACAAGAGTCAAGCAAAGACTGTTTCCATGAAGTGTTGTAACTATATTTTTGATCACCTCCCTGTGGCTTGAGTATAATAGTCCTTGGAAACCCTAGGCTATGCTGAATGTAGGATCCTAGCTCTCTGCAGTTGACAGAGAATATATAACATTATACTCACTAGTGGCTCAAAGTCTGCATTGTAGGTTTCATTTTTCAGTCCCTGATGGGATTGTACCTTGTACTTTTAGGAGGTATCAATTTTGCAAATGCTTTACCCTTTCTTCATCATAAATACTCTTGCTTGGATAGAAATTTCAGAGTGCTGAAGCATCAGTTTTTAGGTCCTATGAAGAAATTGTGTATACAGCCCTATACCCTGCTCACTGCAGCATTTATTTGATTTATGTGACAATGAGGTTTGCAAAACCTCCACTGCTTTCTAGTCCATGGATTGTGAGAACTGCCTTTCAGAATTGGATTGAACATTGCTAATTCTGTCTATAAACAACCCAAAACAACACTCAGGGGAGTGTAAATAAACCTGGAGCTCATTAATCTGCTGCACTATTGTCATTGAGAGACTGCTCTATTTAGCAATCCAGGTGAAGTCATCTCAGTACTCCAGGAATTTTGCCTGAGGCACAGCTGCAAATATGCTGCACAAGATTTACTACACAATTACACAGAACAAAGCTCTAAGAGGAAAAGTACCTCTGAATATAATAGGACCATTTAGGATGGTGGATGGAGAAGGAATTTTGGAAGAGATGGCACAAAATCCATGTTCTCTCAATGACAGTACTGGCTTAAGTTCCCTTGTGCATCAACAAAATAAAATTTTGAACAGAAAAAATAGGCTACAATGTTTGGATTTTTCATATGTGGAAAACACAGTTAGTATCAAAACTTTTTGCACATGCAATTTAGAGGTTTCTATACCAGTGCATGTAGGACACTAAGGGTTTTCCATTTTTCCAAGGACTGAACAATAGTTTTTCCATAATTATGGGGAAATTATTTGTTTGGTTTTTTTTTAAACCCTCACTAAAAATAAAAGAATGCCTGAGTGCTCAGTGAGACTGCAAGTTTGAAATTCAGATGGGCTTTATTAATTCTGAAGCTTTTCACTGTCAATGATTGTGACTTGGACTAAGGAATTGATATCTTCAGAAATGTGACAGCACATGCCATTTCCTTTTCTGCAGGAGATTAAGGGCTTTTTCTTTATCTTTTCTCTTTTATTGCTTTAGGCATGACAGGAAGCTGACACAAAGTGTGATCACAATTGTATACCTCTAATAGGTGTAGATTGTGTCAGGACAAAGATCCACCCCATTCACTACTCTACCTTCTGGAATTTGCCTGGGGAACAAATGTAAACACCAGAGGTTGTCTCAGTCTCCCTTGTAGTAATCTGTGAATAGTGACTTCATCCTTGCATGCAAAAGCATTCAAAGGCCACAGAAAATGCAAATGGAGAACAAAACACTTGCAAAAAGGCTCTACATTTGGTTTCTTTGCATAATTTGGAACAAATTTCCTCTTAACCTAACATTCTGATTAAAATCATCAGATTGCAGCTACTTCTTACTAGTGACAAATAATTGGATTGAAATTTTCTCTTTGGGGTTCCTGCATAGCACAGGGGGAAGGAAGACCTGTGACCTGCTGGGGACACTCCACACTCTTCCTGAATGAAGAGAGTGATTGGATATACCTTCCCTTTAGCCTTCTCTTCTCCAGACTTATCAAACACAGTTACCTCAGCCTCTCTTAACATATCATGCTCCCCAGTCCCTGATAATGTGGCAGCCTTTCATTGGCCTCACCCTGTTTGCCAGTCTCCCTCTTGCTCTGGAGAACCTGGTTACAATACTCCAGGTGTGTCTGCACAAAGGCTGAATAGAGGGAACTAATATTTCCCCATAGTATCATGGTTAAATCATGGTTCCAGAGTATTTATGTCTGTGCCTGTAAACACAGTTCCCAAGAGTACCAGAAGTAAATAAAATCACCCTTTTAACAATGTTATGGTCTTAAGTCGTGTTCTCAAGTCGTTGTGGTCTCATTTGCAGAAGTCTTGGTAACTCCTTGCAACAGCTGAAATCAGGTGTCTTATTTTGAATAAAGGAGATTTTATTTATTGAAGTTTCTGAAAAATTATTTTAAAATGAGGCCAGATTATTGCAATAATATCCACAGCCAGAGGATATATTGTTATTTTAAAAATTATTCGTGCCTTGTTTCTGGTCTTTCTGCTAGGTTGTGCTCATGCCAGAGATTGCTAAGAAACCTGACTACAGTTTGCAAAACCCCCAGACACTGAAACAAGCACCACAGAATAGTAAGAGGACACTGCAAAATATGGAAATTCTGTATATGAAGCAAAAGCAAATCATGTCTTGTGTTGAAGTGAAAAGAGGCCACCTGTGAAAAAAATATAACCTTGAATTTTTTGTCTATATCATAATATATAACTGTCTTAGCATTTTCTATTCATTGAACACTTCTGAGCCTTTATAACATTCTTTTAGGAGTATTTTTTTCTTCTAATTGAATAATAAAAGAAGCTTGTTGAGCTAAAGAATTAGGTTGTATCTAAAGGTCAACTAATATACACTAATACAACTGTGCAGAATATGAAAAATTCCTTTTTATGTATCATCTGTTATTTATGGTATTTCTCATAACCTGCACTGAATTAGTGATATTGAAATATCCTTGCAGGATAGCTACTCAAAGGAGAATAAAACATATTGTGATACAACTGGAGTTGGAAAAAACCCACCAAAGATTAGAGGAGCCAAAGTTTTAATAAAATATAATTCTAAGTAAAATCTGAGTTGTCAGTACTGCTACTGAACCGTTCTTTTGGGCTCTCAGGTGAGAAACATAATTGAAATCTCAGATGAGAACATAGTTGCCCCAGGTCTATCTCAACACACTCCCAAGCACCGCTGCTCAGCTGGTGTTGACTGTGGCTTGACATCCAGCTTATGCACACCCTTAAAGGGCTATGGAAACCAGGGACTTCTCCAAGCCACGTGTTTAGCTCTGGCTGGTGTTTCCTATCTACCCTAAGATACCACAAAGGGAGACACACGGGCAAACAGGAGATGCCTTACGGTCCCCTTTGCCCAGGAGTCTATTTTACCAAGAACTGTCACTAGTGACAGAGCAAGAAGTTCTAGACTCTTCCCTCCTTATCCAGCTCCTCTGTGGATTGGACATTCAACTCCTTCTATGCCTAAAGGATTTCTAATTGAAGCAGGAGCTACAGCTGTATGTTCTCAGATTGGATTGATGCTACCAGCTGACAGCATATCCTGGGGTGTGGAGCCAATCTCAGACCCACAGCTGTGCTTTATTCATGAAAGAATAAAGCACAGGTCAGACAGGAGAAAATGAGCCCAAATACTATGGACTAGTTCCTGTACTCATGAAATGCATAGATGGTTTAAAGTAAAATACTCAGTCTTGGATACCAGATTCCTGTCTGTCTGTACTCTCTGTCTGAACAGGTGGAACCAGACTTGGGTTCCTATTTGCTAATACCTTATTCTGCTAGTTCAGTGTAGTAACCACTGAGGAGTAAAACCATAGTCAACTTCAGAATTTTAAAATTTAATAGTCTGAAACAATTTGAATGTGAGAGATGTCTCATTAATTTTTGGTTTCCTCAATCATTAAGGTAAAACTAGGTGACATGATACCTTTGGATGTTACCTTGTCCTTCTCCTTTCCCAGATTTTCTCATGCCTTTCTTATTCTTGATTGGTGTTTTTCTAACTTATTCTCAAAAACCTTCAGAATTGTCTATCTCACAACCCCTCCAAGCCTAGTCCTATGCTTCATTGCTTCATTATCCATCCTATGAGATTTTCCTCCTAATACTTCAGTTTAAGCTACTTCATATCATATCCACTCAAAGGCATGGGGAACTGATCACTATTTTGGTTATGTTTTGATATATGGTCTCAAAATTCTTTCACTCTAGACTAAGCCATTTGAAATTACCCAGTCTTTATGAGATCTATTTTATTACTTTGAACTCTCTACTCTTGTTCCCTTTTTTTTTTTTTTTTTTTTTTTTTCATATTTATTACTGCTGGAGACACTACTCATTAATGGCTGAGGCAAAAAAAAAAAAATCCCCAGAGAACAGCCTGCTGTATTTGGTAGATTATATTCTTGTGTGTACACATACACATCAGTATGTGTGTGTGTGTGTGTGTGTGTTTGTCCTGGTGGAGTGCTTGTCTTTTTTTCCTAACAGCATGACTAGATTAATTAATATTCAGCTTAGAACCAAACCTTCCTCTCAAACTCAAATCCTTTCCTTCAGAATTACTACCCAGCCTTCTGTACATGCAGCCTATCTACCTACAGTATAACATCTTTCATGTCTTTATTGACTGTGCATTATTTCATAAGACACAATCGTGCTAAGTTCTAACCCTGTTTTTTCCTGTTCTTTCACTCTCCCTCCAGATCAGTGCTATCTGCAAACTTCATATTCTGCTGTGAAAGTTCTTAAAAAAATTGAGTAGTAGCCATCTCAAGAGAGACATCTTCAAAAGTCAATCGGCATGATGTCTTCCATTTTGACACCAACCATTAATAAACACTTTTAGTGGTTACCAAATGCTCAAGATTTATACTCTTTAATAAAAATCTCTGTATGACAGGTTTTTCTCCTAACTTGTTTTCAGAAAGATTATATAAAACTGTCAAACCTTTCTAAAGTGAGGATATGACATATACTGCTCCTGCTTTTTTTCTCTTATGGAACACTTAAATCAAATTTACAAACTCTAAACTGGCTGGTCTACTTGTCATCATCCAGGTGTCTGTAAATTACAGTTTGATCATTTATTGCTATATTTTTTTCCTGAAACCCCATTCTTGCTAGCATCTAACTCCCAGCACTTCCTTTATTATTTCTTTAAAACTTGCAATATATTTGCTCATTTGCAGTCTTTTGGACCACATCTGTTCTCTGTGAACTCTGAAAATTGTTGGTGGGTTTTGTTTGAGATTGTTTCAGTCAGTTGTCTAAATGCTTTGCCATGAGGCTTATGAGGCTCAGCCAATTTTGAAGTCCACACCTTAGGTAGAATCAGAGATGTGCAAGAAAAAGACAAGGGACAACAGGTACAGGTTGCACTTAGGGGGAAAAAAATCACAGCAAGAGTTCCCATAAGCACTTGAACAGGTTTCTCAGTGAGGTTGTGGAATTTCTATCTGGGTAACATGGGGAAATGTTGAAGCTGGCCCTGTTTTGAAAGGGGTAGGGACTAGATCACCACAGAAGGCTCTGCAGTGTACATTATTCTAATACTCTGTATTGATTTTATCACTCTTCTTTTTTCCTCTGAAGTTCAAAGTTAGACTGATTTTTGTCTCTGATCAGTGGACATGATCAAGCCAGATGTAATCATAACAAAATAATGGTTTAGTAACAACTGAGCTTGTTGATGAGCTATCATCATTTTCTGCCACCGTCCTTTATACTCAATGACAGCACCAGTACCCAGTCCCTCTGTGCCATTTGTTATTGTTCATCAGCTGGGTTCCCAACTCTTCTGGGAATAAAATATGTAGGTGACATTAGTGACAAATATTTTTAAATTGTATCACTGTGGTTATAAGATGGTGTCTCATGTTTCTAAGGCTTTCTCTTAGAATTTGCTTTTATTGTTTTTCATATCCATCTCATATTTCATCTAATTAGTTTCCAGTACTATGCTATCATGTATGGCAAGGAAAAGGGTTTTCTGTGTGTGTGTTTAAAGCCTTTGTGTGCTTTATCACAGGCCTAGGCAAACAATAATTAGCATCAGTTGATTAAACAGATAAGCCAAAGAACTCTCCTTCATCTGTATAAGGTCATTTATCTCAAAGCACATCTCCCCTAGGGAGATGTACTGGGAGGTCAGCCCATGCTGTGCCATGAAGAGATCCATCACTAACACTCTAACTAAAACCAAGTTGTTACTTTCTCCTTCTTTAGTGTACTTAGTCATGGCACAAAGAGGACCTGTGACCTGCTGAGTTTCACACCTATTTAAGAGTCTTAAAGTTGAACTGGCATTACAGTATTTTCTGCCACTCCATTTCTTTGGACTGGAAGTCCATTTTTTGCTGCAGTCAGTTCCTAGGAAGGAACACATACCTTTGTTCATCTCTCCACCTGTACCCTTACCTTTCTGTGCACAAAGCCTGCAGCTGCTCTGCCTGCCAGATAGCTCTTCCTTCTGTGAGAGATGCTGTGTGCCTCACTGTAAATATAACCAGCCTGGCCAGCATGATCATTGCTTTATAAACCATTTGTCACAGCCCTCCGGGTATTGCATGTGCCCTTTACAATACTGAGCACACAGAGGAAGCCACAAAATAATGTATCTGATTATTTATTCTAGAAAGTAATTTCTGCTGAATGAGAGAACAGCAATGACTGCCAGCTTTTGGCAGGCTGACCAGCCCAGAAAACTGACCAGCCTGCAAAATCCCTTTGTTTGTCATCATCCACCAAGTAGAGATGCCTTTCTAAATCTCTTTTTGAGCTTGTCATAAGTCCATCTATTTTCATTCTCCCTTTATATTTTCTCCTTTAACATCTTTTTTTATTTGCCACAAACAAGCTATTTTTTCCTAGCTGCACCTCTAGCAAAATGGGAAGTTAGAGTGTACTATTTTTGGGTAGAGTGTTGACACCACTTTTTCTCCATTGAGTCTTAAGATTTATTTTTATTTTGTTAATAAATTCAGAGTGTTTACATATCTGAGATTTTGACTAACATTATACATTAACATGAAAGGACTTAACTTTCTGATTTACATCACTTTTCTCTTGCTTCTCTAGAATGTGGTAGTTCAAGTTTTGATACAAACATGGTTTATGATTGTGTATATTGTACCTGCTGTGAAGCATATTAGCTTGTAAATCCTTGTAAACAGCTAGCTTGTCTAATGTCTTATCAGCAGTTCACTCGGGTGATTCACATCTGTTCAAATGTCTAACTTCTTTTTTCTTAAATTGTTAGGCTTTCTGAATCATTATCATATTCTTTTCAAATTAACCTTGTAGGTATTTCTAAGATTACACATATATTTCTAACTTATTCCCAGTTATAATTTTTCAAACTGCCTTTTACTCCTTTCATGAAATGCATAGTAACAAATTTCCAGAAAAAAAAATATTTCTATCTCTGTTTTGAGGTAGTGGCATACATTAATATACAGGTGCTAATTTCACATAGGCATGAGCAATAAAAGTGTTAAAATAGGTCATTGCCAGGGCACAAAAGCAGATGTTCTTGCACCCCCTTTGCTGATTGTGGTTTCACATAAAGCTCAATGTCTTGCTACTCATACATATGCAAAAAAAATGTTTTTCCTTTGGCATTCTTTAGGGGAAATTCAAGAAATAGGGAGCAGAGGCAAAGGATACCATTGATGTGTCCTAATGAAAGCACTGTCTTTGGCAGTCACTGATAATTGTGAGCAGCATATATACTCTGAGAACTCTGAGCAGCCTATTATTGTGAGATGGTGAACCCCTAGAATCACCCTGATACACTGTGTCCTCCAAGGTACCTTAGCAAATGCAATATCAGAAAAATCTACTGGAAATAAATACTGAGAAAAGGTGGTTCACGAGAGAGATTGTTAATAGACTTTCAGTGGTGTATAAAGGCACAATCTGGAAAAGCAATTTATTATCCTGTGCATTTGGTAGCCTGGCACATATGCCCTTAAGTGACAGGTTTGGTTAGTTCCTGTAGAAATGATTCTGATTATTATTGTTTTTATAACACCTCTTCCAGTGGTTAGTTGAAAGTGCTGTCCATAGGCTATCCATTCTACTAAGATTTCAAATTCATTACAGTCATTTTTCAGAACAAGGAAATCCATTTTCTATTACCCAGAAGATGTTAGCTTCATGTGTTTCTGAAAGAGCACAATTGTGGTGGTTGCTGATGGTGAGTGAGTAATTGACAGAGAAACTTTTTCTATCCACTTTGGCATGATAGAAAGCTAGTGCTGTTCAAGGAAAACATTATAAGCTTTTCTTTTGTACAGAGAACTCATTCTTTGTCCAGGTAGTAAGTGCAAATAATTACATGTCATTTAGTTGAATAAAAAGATAGATGACAGAAAATAGGAGGAAACTATAGTAAAGAGAAGAAAAAAAAATTGCTATGTAAAACTTATAAATCATTTTTACCTCTACGGAGTCCTTGAGATAAGAGGTACTAGTCTGCTTAGCTACTCTGAAGAGAAATTGATCTTAGAATTAGTACCACATTCTTACAAATTAGAAGTAAACACCTTTTTTACATCCTGCTGAGACTTCCCTGGTTTGAGCCATCATGGCTTGAACTCTTCCAAGGCCACGGGATGAGCTTTGTCCCAAAGGAGGGTTAGCACAGCCCTGCCAATAAACTCTGGGGGAGTGAGTATTGGGGTAAAATATCCACGAGCATGGAAATCAAAGTGGGGCTCAGTGACTCTCCACATACAGTGCCTCAGCCCCTATGTCTGGAGCTCAGTTATCTGCTTCATTTCTGGTGCTCTTGATTTTCCACTCCTTCCAGTCTGGTCAAGGTGGTGGTACGTAGAGGTCATATTTCAGATTAAAATGCATCCTCCATAATAATTTTTCAAAGTAATCTTGTTATGATTATTTTTTGACAGTTGGAAGAGAGGAAGGAGCACGGGGTACCATGACATGACATGGCATTTCTAGCAACCAGAAATAGGGCAGACACAAAGTTGTCAAAGGAAAACAAATCCCGTTAAGCTCAGCCTGTTCATACAATGAAATGGGTTTTCATGCAGTTTGTTTTATAATACATATAATCTTATAATTTCATGACTCAGTTTCCTAAGTTGGGAGTACTGTTCTGTTCCTTTACTTAATAAGTGAGAATAACAAAACATAAATGAGCTACTCTATTGCAACATAAATTTGGATTCTCTAATTTGAAGCAGAACACAGTGCTGTAATTTAACATTGAATAAATGCTTAAGTTCAAAAACATCACAATCGGAGAATAATACATATTTGCAAGTCTGGGTTTATCAATGGCTACATAGAAGGAAGCACTGAGAGAATTTAAGTATCATTGAGGAAGATTTTGATAATTCATTAAGCATGAAGGACAATACAACAGGGAACACTGCAAATGAAGTTTCCCAAGTGTAAGACAAGAAGAAAAGAACAAAACCCCAAATTTGTCACTAAATATAATACTAAAACTCTGATTGCAGTCTTCTTTGAGACAGAAGAGCTCAAAATGTATAATTTAATAAAAGCTAATCAGCATAGATCTGTTACTGGAAGCCCAAACTTCAGAAATTTGCTTTAATATTTTTGTATATGTTACAACAGGTGTGAAAGTTGTAACATATCCATATTTAATGAAATATTTTAAGTCATACTGAAGAATATATAGTGGCTCGGGACACAGGCACACTTCTCTGCAGCAGGTCAAGAGAGGATTTGTGTACTACAGCATGTCCTGCCACAAGAAAAGATAACCTGACAGGATGCCTTAGATCCTCTTCCTATCAATCAAGACAATCACAGCCCTCCTGACCACATATAGCAACAGGGGATTTAATCAGTCTTTTCCTTAGGATACTATGGGTTAGATTTAGTCTGCTGAGATACCTATCTCAGAGCTGTAGCTTTGGTTTTCTGCTGAAACACTCTTCCTTCAGCTGAATGCTGCTTCCCTATCTGTCAGTGAAATGTGCCTAACTGTTTTGAAGTCCTCCAGGAGGATATTTGTTCTGCTGGATCTGGTCAGAGTTGTGAAAAGATGAAGCTCCATTCATGGGTTGTATTTACAACACCTACTGCCTTGCTTGAGTAATTTAGTTCCTCTTTGCCTCACCTATAAGAATAAGCGAAAATATGCCTTCAGTCCTTTCTGGGTGCTTTTACCCCTTTATATGACAATGTCTATATTGCTAAGAAGCATTTTTTTGAAAGCACAATGGTCATTAAGAAAGTTCAGTGCTATTTCAGTACCAATAGATATTCATCAAAGAGTTGTGTTGTGTTTATTGTGGGTCATGTGCAAGCCAAGCTCTTTACATGCTTGAATAAAGGAGAAATATTTTGCCTTTTTTTTTAATGTTAGGGATCCTCTCACTGTCTCATCCTCTGAACAGTTCCAAAGTGGTAGTCTTTGCCAAAATTTTAGTGACATTGAACACTTACTAGATACTCGCCTCCTGTTTTGACAGCTCACATGATGCATATCATTCTATGCTCATTAATCAAGGTCATGCTTATGCAGATAGTAAAAGCTGTCACTGGTAACAGATTCTCTTTTTGAGGGATTTTCCTTATTCAAATGCATGATAGACATAACAATTCTCTTTTTTCACTTCTAATTTTCTTCATAATATGTTCAATTTGAAAGCCATCTGGAACTGAGTTTTAAATCAGACATGCTTTGGTTGTTCATGCTATTGCATGCTATTGCTAGATGATGTAAGCATTCACATTACACACATGGTAAGTTAAGTGTAATCAATCCTCAGTGAAATTAGAAAATTCTTGGGGTTTAGCTGTCTGTCACAGTGAATTAAAAGCCTAGACTTGCATATTTGAGGAGACTGTCTCTGATTAAAATGATGGAAGAACTCTGTCTGTGAATTGGCAATATAAAAAGTTACGCATCATTCAGAAATAAGGGTAAAAAGATGCAAAATTCAAACACTAGTATCAGGAGGTTTGGGTGCTTCAAGCTGGATCTACAACCTCCTCTGTATCCTGTGTAGCAGAGTCAGCGATTGCTTTAGAGATAGTGATGGCATTTACATGTGCAGTTTTTTTCCCCTGAGTCCCAAACATATCTTCTTGTTCAAATACAACAGAAGTCTTCTTTTTGATGTTCTATTTCTGATTTCTGCTTTTCTTACATATTACAATGCTTCCTTTGGATAAAGATACCATATTCTCTTATAGGGAGTGAAAAATTATCTTAGGCTACAAGAAAAAGACCTTGTACGGGGTTCAGAGTGAAATAGTATATTACTCATTCAGTTGTCATACTTATTTACCATATTACAGTTGTCACTGTTT